GGGGGGGGGGGGGGGTCAGCAACCTGCGGCTCTGGAGCCACATGTGGCTCTTTCATCCCTTGGCTGCAGCTCACTGTCACCAGTCAATGCCACTGTTGATAGGGCTTTCAGTTAGGACAGGTAGAGGAAAAAGGATGCCGCGCTAGGAGGAGACTCTATGATGGGGAAACTGAACTTCTGGTCAGCTCCAGAATTCAATGGGGGGGCTTCCATTTAGGACCTTTGTGGCTCTTGAGTAAGGTTGCCGATTCCTGGTTTAGTCTAAAGAAGAGAGGGCTGTGGGGAGACATGAAGGCAGACTTCTAAGGACTCTTACCAGTGGGCACGATGACTCAATGGTTAAAGATACTGAGCTTTTGTCTGCTAGAACACAAACAGCTCTGGTTCAAGACCCAAGCACCACCTAATGGGATGAGCTCCCACTTCCGTTTCCTGCTGCAGCTCCTTCCCACCTAGCTGTTCGGATGCAAGTAGATAAAAAGTACCACTTTGGTGGAAAGGTTACAGTGTTCCATGCACCTCAGCATATATTCATCTTGCCACATGACTGCGGAAGCATCTTCGGATTACGCTGGCTCCGTTGGCTAAGAAACAGAGATGAGCACCACTTCCTAGAGCAGGGGTGTCAAACCTGATTTCATTGAGGGCCACATCAGGGTTGTGTTTGATGTCGGAGGGCTGGAGGGAGGCGTGGCCATGGTGGACATGGCCAGCTAAACGTCACTTATATTGGGGGTACCTGTGATGGCCAAGTGATAAGGCAGAACTTCCCTGAGACCCTCCTCACTCTCATTATAATCTCCCTCCTTCCCTCCTTCCTTCCTTTCTTCTTCCCTCTTCATTCTCCTTTCTTCTTCCTTCATATCTTATTTTTCTTTGTCTTTCCTCTTTCCCTTTCTCCTTTTCTGTCCCTTTTTGCATACTCAAAGGCAAAAGGGGAAACATTTTATTTTTAGTTTGTTTTTTTAGCCCTTTTGCTAGCCCTGAGCAACCCACTGAGCTCCATTTTCAGTGGCAGAGGCATTGGGGTATCCTTTGCTGTTTCCAAGCCGGATCTAAGCACCCCGTGGTCCAGATCCGGCCTGCGGGCTTTGAATCTGACACCCCTGCCCAAGAATCAGACACAACTGGGCAGAGGAAACTTTTACCTTTACTTTTAAAGGCTGTCAAGGAAAGAGGTATGGATTTAGTTTCTCCAACACTCAACGGGAAGACAAAAACCACTGGGTTTAAGCTTTACAGAGATCTCCAAACTAAGGGCTGCTCCAATGGTGGGTTCCGGATCCCATTCCAATCGGCATGGTGTAACGGGGCCCGTTGTCCCCCACATGCATGCATACATCCTTACCTCCGTGACACGTCCATGACGCCTCTGTGATGCTCCAGCTGCTCAGCAGAGCATCACACAGGCACCGTATGCTCTGTGCTCATGTGCGGACACGCTGAAGAGCTCAAATACAGGTAAGGAGCTCGGGCGGGCAGGTGGGCCCTCCGGAGCACCATACTGGAATGGTACTCGGTGGTCCTGGCAGGCAATGGTACAACCATACTGGGGCGTACCGCCTGCAAACCACCACTGTGCTGCTCTATCACGGAAGGTTTTCAAACAAGGGTTGGAGAGCAGTGGTGAAATTCAAACTTTTTTACTACCGGTTCTGTGGGTGTAGCTTGGTGCTGGAGTCCTTTGACTGAGTGGGTGTGGCCAACCTGATGTCACTCATGGTCACGCCCACTCAGTCACATGCCCCCCACCACCAAGCCACGCCCACAGAAACCGGTAGGAAAAATGTGTGTATGAGTCCATTCAAAGCAGAGCTGCTGCTCCCTTTATGGTCCTCCCCCCGCCCCCTCCCTTTCTTAATGGGACAGGCTGCAGCAGCTCTGCTGTGAATGGATGAAGAAACGTTTGGACTGTCTCTGTGCATTTAACGTTGAATTCTGTGTCAGAGGCAATCTGAACGTTTCCCCCTCCGTTCACAGCAGAGCTGCTGCTCCCTTTATGGTCCCGCACCCCCTCCTTCCCTGGGTCTACCTTAAAGGAACAGGCTGCAGCACCTCTGCTGTGAACGGAGGGAGAAACATTCAGATTGGGTGGGCAGGTTGAGCGTTTGGAAGAGGTGAGCAGCGATAGTGTGACCAAGTGGCTATGCGCAGGGCCACCAAGGATTTTTGCCACTGGTTTGAAGAACCGATGCCAATCGTCCCCACCGGTTCAGCTGAACCAGGCCGAACCGGGAGGATTTCATCCCTGTTGGAGAGCCATATGTGTGGGATGGTCTGAGGAACACCACCAAGGACATAAGGTTGGAATAGATGACCACCAAGATCCCTTCCAAAGTTACAATTTTATGAGCGATTATAAGTATTTGGAGAAATGTTTGAAGTGGATAAAAGTACAGCATGAAATGCAGTATTGACCAAGATGAAATTTAACTATAAGATTCAATGGTGTTACCATTAGAAACGTAAACCTTATGTTTCAGTCAAACTGACTAGCACGAGAATGCTGGATGGAAGTTTTCTCTTTGCCAAACGTCCCACTGGGGTAATACTAAATTTTAAGATGATTGGGGTCAAATTGGATTGTTTTGTAGGTTCAAGGCCTAACTAGATACTCTTATTCTATAGAGGGAGTTTAGCAATAGTACTTAGACTTATTACCGCTTTATAGTGCTTTACAGCCCTTTCTAAAGTGGTTTACAGAGCCAGCCTATTGTCCCCAACTTTACCCACCTCGGAAGGATGGAAGGCTGAGTCAACCTTGAGCCTAGTGAAAATGGAACCCCTGGCTGTGGGCAGAGTTAGCCTGCAATGCTGCATTCTGATCTGGGAAGGAAAGAAGGGAGGGCAATAGCACTTAGACTGATATACCGCTTCACAGTGCTTTACAGCCCTTTCTAAGCTGTTTATAGAATCAGCCTCTTGCTCCAAAAATCTGGGTCCTCATTTTACCCACCTCGGAAGGATGGAAGGCTGAGTCAACCTTCAGCTTAGTTGAGATTCGATTTGAGCCTGGCGAGATTTGAACTGCCAAATTGCAGGCAGCCGGCAGTCAGCAGAAGTAGCCTGCAGTACTGCACTCTAACCACTGTGCCACCGTGGCTCATATAACCACTTAATTTCCCTTTTGCTACCTTATTTTCTAAGAAAAATAAAACAGAGAAGGACTGGAGAGATCTCTTGCAATGAAACTTAAAATCAGTTCAATAGAAACTTAAAATTAAAAATGACAAGACTTCACCAAAAAGGACTTCTATAGACTCCTCTTTTGTAAGATGCAACCAACAATACTTACCAGGACATTTATACAGTTTGCGTGCCTGGGCAATATCTCCTTTACTCAGCCGGGTTCTCTGTCCAATCGAGGGCTGCATCCCATTCACATTATATTTGGGAAGAATGGTGTCCAGGAAGATCCCCCTGAAAAGACACAAAGGAGAACATTCTCAGCTTTGAGCTGGCTTGCACAGACATAACCAAAAACCTTAGTTCATAAAGTAATTGGTGACTGGGAGCCTGGGAAAAAAGAGATTGGCCATTTTACAAAAGAGAAATGATAGCTGATGATAGCTGTCACAAACTTAAGCTTGCTTTTTTACTTATCCCTTTTTCCAGAGAATCCGTATCCTTTGAACTGGTGTGAGTTTAGACTGGAAAGTTATTCATGGTTTGCTTTAGAGAAACCCCACATGGGCTTTGGACACTATTTAACAAAATGAAATTCAATGGTGAAAAGAGTAAGGTTCTCCATTTAGGCAAGAAAAATGAAATGCACAGGTACCATATACATGGTACCTGGCTCATTAGTAATAACTGGGAGAAGGATCTTGGAGTCCTAGTGGACAACCATTTAAATAGGAGCCAGCAGTGTGCAGCATCTGCCAAAAAAGCCAACACAGTTCTAGCCTGCATAAACAGAGGGATAGAATCAAGATCACGTGAAGTGTTAATACCACTTTATAAGGCCTTGGTAAGGCCACACTTGGAATACTGCATCCAGTTTTGGTCGCCACGATGTAAAAAAAGATGTGCAAACTCTAGAAAGAGTGCAGAGAAGAGCAACAAAGATGATTAGGAGAATGGAGGTTAAAACATATGATGAACAGTTGCAAGAATTGTGTATGTCTAGTTTAATGAAAAAAAGGACTAGGGGAGACATGATAGCAGTGTTCCAATATCTCAGGGGATGCCACAAAGAAGAGTCTAGCTATTCTCCAAAGCACCTGAGAGCAGGACAAGAAGCAATGGGTGGTAACTAATCAAGGAGAGAAGCAATCTAGAACTGAGGAGAAATTTCCTGACAGTTAGAACAATTAACTGACAGTGGAACAACTTGCCTCCAGAAGTTGTGAATGCTCCAATGTTTTTAAGAAGATGTTGGATAATCATTTGTCTGAAGTGGTATAGGGTTTTCTGCCTAAGCAGGGGGTTGGACTAGAAGATCTCTGAGGTCCCTTTCAATACTGTTATTCTATTTTCTTGTTATTATTCCTCTATATGCATTAATGGAAGGTGGAGTTATATCAAACTTTTACTCTCAGGGATTTCCAAAGGATTTTGAAATAAGAAAGCTAAAGAATGCTTAAGGAAATATAAAGATTTTAGCCCAAGTATTTCTGGTTATGTACAAGTTGTCTTGAAACTGGAACAATTACCCCCCAAAATCCTAGTATGTAGGCCATCATGTCCAATATCTTTCTAATGACCTGCTTTCTGTCTAGATTGATTCTGATGGGTTTCATTCATTATTATTGTCTCTCCGAGTGGCAAGAGGAACAGAAATTTTGTCAATCACAGAAATATTAGTAGATCCTTTACTTATAGATTATAGAGCACTGGGATTTTGCAATTGCGTTATTAGCAGGGCATCAAATCTTTTATATTGTCGTGATTGCCACTTTTCCATAGATGGAGATGGGAGCTGAAATGGAAACTAACAGAAAAGATGGATGGTGGGATCATCATTAGCTATTTCAGGAGTGGATCAATTCCAAGTTGGGTGCATCAAAAAGTTGTGGGCATCCCTGACTTAGGTCTTGATTCCTCCTCTTGGCCACATCACACTCACTTCATTCCTTCTCCCAAGTTTCCATGTAATTCTTAAACCAGTTGCCCTTATGAAGGATTCCAACTTGGCTGCAAGAACATAGGATGAGTTACTAAAAATAGACATGGATGCCCTTGTAATTAGAAAAGCACAAGGGCGTAAATCCAGGAACTTCACCACAGAAAAGGAATTGCCCACGCAAAACCTTGCAAGCAGTAGTTCTAAAGTAGTTCCAGACCCACTTGACCTCACAGGACTAGCTGGTTTAATCCAAGAAGATCAGGTTATGCACAAATTGACTTGAAATCGGAACAATTTTTCTTTCCCTTGCAACCTGTAGCTTCTGGATGGACTATTTCCTATTGATATTGATTACCTACTCTGCTTTTTTGAAGTCAAGGAGACTACTAACCTTCTGTTCCTATGTATAGGCAATCCTTGCTTAAAAACCACTTTTGGGACTTCATACTCCATTGTGGAGGGTTGTAACCATTAAACGAGACTCATGTGACCACAACAGAGCTACGATCTCTCACAGTTAAGCAAATCTCCTGTGGTTGTTAAGCACATTTAGTCTCATGCTGTGAATGGTGGTAACACTGCGCCACATCTACACAATGCACTGGGCTCTGAATTGAAGGCTTAGGAGACTGAAAATATGTAGAAAGGGGAGGCGAAACATCCAATCAAAAGCACACATTCTCCAAGGAACGGAAGGTTAAAGCTGTCTATTTCATAAGCCAACATGAAAAACATTTTGCTTCTTCTGCCTCCTAGTTGGATTTCTCTATCAAAATTGTGCTTATGCTTGACACTTTTGGCTGTCTGAATCAGAATGTTTGTTGCCGAATTGCCTGGATTCTTTGGTTGGGCCAACTCAATATGGGACAATTTAACACAGTATTCATCGTTTCACTGAGTTACTTTTATTATTGGTGGCCACGTTTTTATTGGTTATTGTAACACGTATATTTCTAAATTGACTTTCTTTATTTTATTCTTACTGGCTATGGTTCCATTGAACTTAATGAAACTTTTGTATTTTTTTAAATTGTCCTGTGGCTAACTGGCCATGGCAAGTTGTCCAATGGCAAGTTGGCTGTGACGAGTTGACTGTGGTGAGTTCCATCTTTTGTCCTAGTCCCTATCTTGCAGACCTAAAGATCCACAGTTGTTTTTCCTAACTTACTCCACAAAAACTGCATACGCCCTGCATATGCTGAACAAAAAATTATTTCAATTTCTACCCTCAAAACGACACTATAGGGCATTGCACACTAGAACCACTAGACACAAGGACTGTTCCCCCCCCAACCCATCCCTCTGCTAAACAACTAATTCCAACAACATTGTCAAAATGTTTACTAAGACTGCATTACTAGTCCTCTTCTCATCCTTCCTATTACCTATTTCCTTTTCTACTTGTGACTATAACTTTGTTGCTTGTATCTTTACTATTTATATTGTTTTATTTAGTGTCCTAGTATGATTTATGTTGATTGCTTATTTAGTATCCTATGAGTATCATTAAGTGTTGTAGCTCATAATTCATGATGAATGTATTTATGATGATTATGATAATGATTTAAATCACTTATATCTTTTGTGCACCCTGAGAGCTTATGCACTGAAGGCAAATTCCTTGTATGTCTAATCACACTTCTATATTTTGAATTATATAATTTTGCTGAATTTGCAGGTGAGATTTTTATCAACCAGAATCCATCTTCTTGATCGTGGCGACATTGACACACTCCGTTTCTTTACAAAAGGTCAGACAGTGGGAGTCTCAACAATCAGTATCAGGCTGACGTTGTTCTTCTGGAAAGATCAAATTAGAAAGTAGAGGGGTTGTGTGTTTTTTTTTGAGAAATCCTGGATTTCTTACTATGTGAAGTCAACCATTTTGAAAGTTGTGACAATTTTCTCCTAGAGCTAAAACAGTACAGAAGTCATCTCAAGAAATTTACCTGAGTAAAGGATAATTTGAATCACAACAGAACCCATTAGTGGTGGAAAAACTAACAGCTGCTGGTATCAACCTTTGTGTTGAGAACAATTAGGAACAAAGGGAAAGCTGTGATAATAGCAGTAATTTCCTACATGTGTCTTTACTGAAGCACTTAATAGATACCTGAACCTTTTCCGAAATCTCTCTTATAGACCTGCAGAAAATATGACCCCTGGTAAAGTTGGGACTAGAGATTTGCAGATTCTTTCTCTTAAGCGGCCAAAGGAAAAAAAATGGGTCAGCTGGTCTAGAGAGTAAAGAGTCAAAGCTTAAAGATTTAGTTTGCAGAAACAGCAGGGGAAGGTTTAGGCTATAACTTCATGGAACTTAAAATTGTGGAAAATAATGCAAGGAAATGCATAAAAAAACCAACCTTTAACACAGAAACAGTGTTGTGATTAGGAATAATATAAAAGCATAAATCATTGTCTAGTTTTGTATGAGGCTGAGGAGCAGGGGTGGTATTCACTTATCTTCCCTACCGGTTCGCAAATGTGAGCATTATGTTTGCACACGCCCCATCTGTGCATGTGCTCAAACCTCTGCGCATGCGCTTTGGCTAAAAAAGATGCCTAAGTGGGATGCAATAGAGCCATGGAGGGGTAGGGGGCACTCGCGATTTCTGCTACTGGTTCAGGTGAACTGGTCCAAATACCAGTAGAATACCAGCTCTGGTGGGGAGTGACATGAAATGGGAGTAGAACAAGACCAAAGATGGATACCTCATGCTAGACTTGCCTGAGGAAATGGATAGAAATTAGGAAGAAAAAGGAAGCTTAGAAGAAATAAGATGAGGTGAGATGAGGTGAGGTAGGATAGGATAGGACAGGGGTCGGCAAACTCCAGATTGTTAGCCGCCCTGAGTCTCTCGGGAATAGGGCGGCATACAAATTAAATAAAACCTAAATAAAACCTTAAACACTCAAAGAGCCATTTGGACCCGTTTCCCACAGAAAAGAAAACACCGGGAGCCACAAAGGTCCTAACCGGAAGCCCCCTGTTCAATTCTGGAGCTGACCGGAAGTTCAGTTTCCCCAACATAGAGTCTCCTCCTAGCATGGCCTACTTTTTCCTCTACCTGTCATAACCGAAAGCCCTATCAATTGTGGAGACAACTGGAAAACCCTCCCCTTGCCATAGAGTCTTCTCCTGGCGCACTGTGCTCTCTCCCCCGCCCCACCGGAAGCTCCTCTCAAAATTGTGGTACCGACCAGTGACAGACCCACAGCAGAGGGAGGAAAGAGCCACATACAGCTCAAGGGCCACAGTTTGCTGACCCCTGGGATAGCATGAAGTAAGGTAAGACAGGATAGGATAGGACAAGATGAGATAAGATCAGATAATTTTTGTTGTTACTTTTTT